TTCTGCTGCTGACTCCAGTTACTGGTGGGCCCTCTGTCTCCCAGCCCATGTGTTCACGTGGGGATTTTGCTCTTGAAATCTTTCTTGCCTAAAGATCAGGAAAGAATAAACACAAAAGAAATAGGGGGCCACAAAGAGATTTCAGAAAAGGGGGAAAGAACCTCTTTGTACAAAAATGTTTATAGCAGCTCTTTTTGTGGTGGCCAAGAATTGGAAATTCAGGGATGCCCATCAGCTGGTGAGTGGCTGAACAAGGTGGGGTATATGAATGTAATCGAATGCTATTGGGCTATAAGAAATGATGAGGAGGCAGATTTCAGAAAAACCTGGAAAGACTTACATGAACTGATGCTGAGTGAAGTGAGCAGAACCAGGAGAACATTGTACACAGTAAAAGCAACATTGTGCAATGATCAACTATGAATGACTTCAACATTCTTAGATATTGGATACAATGATGCAAGATCATCCCAAAAGAAAAAATGCTATCCGCCTCCAGAGAAAGAACTGAAGTTCTATGAACACAGACTGAAGCAGGCTATTTTTCATTTTCTTTCTTACTTTCTTTTTCTTTCTTTCTTTTTCTTTCTTTCTTTCTTTCTTTCTTTCTTTTCTTTTCTTTTCTTTCCTTCTGTTTTTCTTGTACAAAATGACTATTACGGAAATGCTTTACATGATTGCACATGTATAAACTATATCAGATTGCTTATCTCAGACAGAGAGGAAGAAAAGAATGGGAGGGATAGAATTGGAACTTAAAATTTTAAAAAGAAGTTAAAAAATTGTTTTTATATGTGTCAACCTGAAAGTTGGTCAAGGAGGCAAGAAGCTAGGTGATAAGTAAATTCATATTGTCTATTCCCTTGAGTTAGGGAGCCAGAGCTTTAACTCTGACTGAATCAAGCAATTTTAGGAGGACATTTAAACCCTGCTTCAGGATGTCTGTGTTACTCAGATTTATGGTCTCCATATATGTTTAACCATAGCATGAGAAAGGAATTTTCTTAGTTGAATAGGTTGTAAATACAATAAGATTCTCCTGAATGTCAGAGTGTCCATTGAAATTATAGATCCAGGATATCTGTGTTTCTTTTACCATTAACGTGACATGGCATAGCATATGTCCATAAAATACCAAGATAAGAAAAGTCCCATTATTCAAAGTAGTGTCCGGGTCTAAGGCGCCTTAGCAGTCATAAGCAGAAGAATGCTGGTCAGCTTCCTCTGGCCTTGTAGTTACTGACAGAGGAAGGGGTATTTTGAGTTCACTCAGAGAACAAAGAAAAAGCATGTCTCTTATGTTGGGGTGCTTCTGCTGGTTGATTAGTTGAGGCATTGGCCCTTAGTGGGGTTCAAATGATCTTAAATGATCATCATTTGTAATTGGGGGAAAATAAAATATTATTTAAAAGAGAAATGATGTGCTACTTCTCCCTTCTTCTCCCCAGCAGCTCAGAGCAGTGCTGGCTGCCCCTCTGGAACGAAGACAAAGCGGTTAGTTTTTGGTCAACTTCTCTGAGGTGTCCACTGATGGGCCCAGTCACCAAGCAGGGAACTCTTCATCTTCATAATGACAGTTGTCTCAGCTGTGAAGCTTTGGAGCTGCCCTTGGACCCGCTTTCCATGCTGCTCTTTGGGGGCTAGGATCAGATGGGGGTTATCTGCTCCAGCTCCAAGGAAGAGGGCCAACGAGTTGGCCAGCTCAGCCATGTCATGATCAAACTGCAGCCCTGGATGGGGTCCTCCCCATGACTGGTTGGATCCGGGGTTAGCCAGCTTCTGCTGGAGGCCTCCCAGCCCTTCCATGGTGGGACAGCTCTGATTAGAGGGGGAAGCTTTTCCTGCGTGAAGCCTAAAGTGGCCAAATTTCCACCATCTCTTCTGGTTCTTCCCTCTGGGACCAAATAGAATAAATCTAATCTGTCTCACATGTTATTGTTATTCAGTTATTTTTGATCATGTCCCACTGTTCATTTCCTTGGCAGAGTTACTGCAGTGGTTTGTCATTTCCTTTTCCAGTTCATTTTACAGATGAGGAAACTGAGGTCCACAGGGTTAAGTGACTTGCCCAGGGTCACACAGCTATTGAGTATCTGAGAACAAATTTGAACTCAGGAAAATGAGTCTTCCTGACTCCAGGCCGAGTGCTCTGTGCACTATGGCGCCACCTAGTGGCTTGTCTCTCACATAACCGGCTGGCTCTGGGTAATCACTGACTCCCTTTCTAGAGGTGTGACAACCATCCCTTGATTCTTCGGTCCTAATGCCCAATGAGGATACATTTTGGATACCTCTTGCAGATGACTAATAAGGACATCAATGACCAGGGAGTGACTGGGATGTTCCCATGACCGCTGCTCCCCAGACAAAGGTTTTGGGGACGCTTGTGGACATCCCATGTCACACAAAGCACCTCAGGGGCCACCAGCCAAAAACCAAAAGTCCCCACAAACAAGCCTCGACAAGCAAGAGTGAGATATGTGATATGCCCACTAGGTGGCACTGTACTCAAGCCAGTCACCTAATGTTTTCCTCAAGATCTGTAATTCAGAGGCCCAAGGTTCTCTCTGATGGGTGAGTGGCAGCCCCCTCCCCCAAGGACTGGCTAAGAAAGAAAGGACCAGGGATAGAGCTCTGGCCTTGGAGTCAGGAGGACCTGAGTTCAAATCCAGCCTTAGACACTTGACACTTACTAGCTGTGTGACCCTGGGCAAGTCACTTAACCCCAATTGTCTCGCCAAAAAAAGAAAGAAAGAAAGGATCCCTTGCTCCTTACTGCTGCATCCTGAATTCTAGCCTCAAAGACGAGGAAAAAAAATATTGTTCAAGAATACAAAAACCATAGAAATCTCTGATTCTGCCCCTCCCTTGCCTCTGGGCTGCTAAGTTCAGGCCCCATCCTTCAAAGTCAGGTCAAGTCAACAAGCATTGATTAAGCACCTACTGTGTACTTGTAGGGACTGATGCTGAGTGAGGTGAGCAGAACCAGAAGAATGTTGTACACAGTAACAGCCGCTGGTGTGCGATGATTAACTTTGATAGACTTAGCCCTTCTCAACAATGCAAGGATCTATATAAGACATCTACAAAAGTCTCATGATGGAAAATACAATCTACATCCAAAGAAAGAACCATGGAGTTCGAACACAGATCAAAGTATACTGTTTGCTCTTTTTTTTTCTTCTGTTTTGTTTTGTTTCCTCTTTCTGATGGTTCCTCCTATTGGTTCTAATTCTTCCTTACAACATAACTAATGTGAAAATATATGAAAAATAGGAATGTATACGTATAGCCTATATCAGATTGCATGCCTTCTTGGGGAGGGAGGTGGGAAGGGAGGGAAGAAAAATTTAAAACTCAAAAGCTTATGGAAGTGATTGTTGATAAATAAAAATAAATTAATAAAAACAAATAAATAAATGAAATTTTTTAAAATGATGAGCAGGCAGATTTCAGAAAAACCTATATGGAAAGACTTCTACGAACTGATGCTGAGTGAAGTGAGCAGAACTAGGAGAACATTGTCCACAGTAACAGCCACATTGTGCATGACTAACTTTCATAGACTGGGCTCTTCTCAGCAATGCAAAGATGTAAGACAATTCCAAGACTCATGGTGGAAAATGCCGTCCACATCCAGAGAAAGAACTATGGGGTCTGAACGCAGATCGAAGCAGACTATTTGCTCTCTTCTTTTGTTTGTTTTTTTTTCTTTCTTGTGTTTTTTCCCTTTGGTTCCGATTCTTCTTTACATGACTAATGTGGAAATGTGTTTAATGTGATTGTACAGGTATAGCCTATTACATGCCGTCTTGGGGAGGTAGGAAGGGAGAGAGAGGGACAAATTTAGAACTCAAAATCTCATGAAGGTCAACGTTGAAAACTAAAAATAAATAAGTGATCATCTTCTTCATACCAAAAAAAAAGAACAGAAGAGATGATTCAATATAAAACAATAAATTTTCATTTCAAGAAAACCTGTATAATAAACGCTACACATTGTTTTCAAAGCTACCTAGTTTTTCTTTACTTCCTTGTAGGTTTTCTTTTGTTCTCTGCTGTGCACTTTTTACTTTATTTTTTTCTCTCCCCCCGCCCCAGGCTACAATTAACCTCAGATGTGAATGCACATATACATAGATATCTATAAACACACACATATACATATATACACTCAAGCACACATATGTAAGACCATGCTGTGCATATTTTCTCCTGTCATCTGGTTCTCTGAAGGTGGACAGCATTTTCCTTCATAAGTCCAAGTCTTCCTATGTTTCAGCAGCATTCCAGCCCAATCACATCCTGTCTGAGCGATTGTCTATGAAAGGGTTTTTTCCCGTTTTTTCTGCATTCCTTCTATTCCTGGCTACTTTGGCTTTATTTATACAAAAATTTTAAATTTAAAATCATTTTCCCCTTCCTCACTGCTCTTGACTCCTCACACAAGGTCTGACCCTGATGAATCTCCTTAGTGTCTTTAAATTCTTGACCTTTTGTTCTTTCAAATGAATTTTATTATCTTTTCTAACTCAGTAAAATATTTTTAGTGATCTAATTAGGTTGGCATTGAATAAATAGATTAGCTAGGTAGAACGGTCATTCTTATGATATTGACTGCACCTACCTATAAACAATAAACCTTACCCTGGGCTGCCCTTGGGAGCTCGCCTTCAGAAGGCCCTCAGAGCTGGGAGGGGAAAATCCTCCGGGAAGGCAGCCGGGAGGTCAGGATGGGCCCCTGCATCTGAGAACCGAGGGATGCTCACGGAGCCCGAGAGAGCGGAACCAGCTAGCCCAGCCCCTGCTCCGCGGATCTCCGAGCCCTGGTGAGACGCTCACCGGGAGATGCCAGCCCCAGGAACGGCCCGGAGCCTGTGGCCCAGGAGCTGTTCCTGCCCCTAGGGAAAGGATGAGGGTGCCGATGGCCAGGAGGCCCCGCCCCCTCGGCCAGGCCCCACCCCCACTCCCGTAGCCCCAGCCTCGGCCGCTGTCACCTCCGGGCCTGTCCTGTCCTGTCCCTCGGACCCTGCCATGCCCCGCGGAAGCCGCAGCACCGCTGCGCCCCCCCCGTCGGGCAGGTGAGTCCCAGGAGCTGACGGGGGTGGGGGGGTGGGACGGGGCGGCCCGCGGACTGCGGGGGAAGAGCTCAGGGTTGGGCGATCGCGGCAGCCTGGCCAGGTCACGGTCAAGGTCATCGGGGCGGGAGGCTGGGGGAGCTGGCGAGGAAGGGAGAGGGTCCTCCCCCTGAACTGCCTTCGCTCCGCAGCCGCCTGGCTCCCCCCACGGCCCCTGCCCCGAGCAGCGGGCAGCCAGGCCTCCTGTCCCAGATGGCATCCACGGCGGCGGGGGTGGCCGTGGGCTCGGCGGTGGGCCACGTGGTGGGCAGTGCCCTGACAGGGGTCCTCGGCGGGGGCAGCAGCCCCGGGCCAGAGCCGGCCCCCCGCCTGGAGCAGGTGAGTCTGGGCCGGGAAAGAGGGGCGGAGGTGGAGGGGTGAAGGAAGATGAGCCCCTGAGCCGCCCCCCCCATCCCGCGGGGGAGGGGGGCGGCAGAGAGGGCAGGGCACTGGCCCAAGGTCACACAGCTGACGCAGGCCAAAGAGGCCCCAGCGCCCCTGGAGCGTCCTTCTTGGTCCGGTTAGGGGCAAGTCCCAAGGTGGTGGCGGAGGGAGCGGCGAGAAAGGGGGAGTGGCCCCCCGTTGTGCAGCAGTGTCTGAAGGCAGTGCCCACGACAGCCGCGGCTGCCCCTTGCTCTAAGCATATGGGATCCCAGGTGAGCCTCACCCAAACCCAGGGAGGTAGGGGTTATTGTTAGGCCCATTTTACAGTCGAGGAAACTGAGACTTACTGAGACTTAGACACACACACACACACACGCGCACACACACACACACACACACACACACACACACACACGGCTGGAAAGTATCTGAGGCAGGATTTGGCCTCCCAAGTCCACTACGCCTCTTAAACCCTGGAGCAGCCCTCTCCTTTTTCAGATAGAAAAACTGAGGGAGGCCGGATAAGGGCCCCTGGGAGGCAGTGAAGGACGGCGCCAGCTTCTCAGCGCAATAACGCACGCGGCAACGCTGAGAAAGCCAGAGGCCCGCCAGGATCAGAGGCGGCCCAGTCCCTCTAGGTGGCGCCATAGAGCACCAGGCTTGCAGTCACCGAGACTTCTTCCTGAGATCAAATCTGGCCTCAGACACCTGGGGCAGGTCACTTCAACCTGTTGGCCTCAGTTTCCTCATCTGTCAAAGGGCTCTCAAGGAGTCAGACATGACTGAAAGAACCCAACAACAACAAAATCGCTCCAAACCCCCTTTGGGGAGGGAGGGTTGAAGGAGCTCAGATGGTTGGCCAGAAGAGAAGGCTCTGAGAGCCAGAGCTGCCTCCATGCTTCTGGGAAGCTGACATGGAGAGGGCAAAGAGGGGGAGTGGGGGATGGCCCCAAGGACTGAAAGGGCAAGTTCAAGTCAACAAGCACTGGTGAAGTACCTACTGTGTGCTGCACACTGGGTTGAGTGCTGGGAAGGAAGACAGAACACAGGCCCTGCCCTTGGGGAACTCCCAGTCTGAGGGGGAAGGTATGGAGGAAACCCAGGCAGAGAAGGCAGAAGGGCCTTATGGGGAACGGGGAAAGGTGAGGCAAGGAGGTGAAGGTGAGGAGGGCAGATAGTCTTAGGCAACGCCTGGGAGGTGGGAAATGGAGGGTCCAGCCCAGGGCCCTGGAGATCTCTGAGCAGAGGCTAGGGGGGAGGCGCTGTCCATCCTGCTGCAGAGGGAGGGTCAGCTGTCCTCTGAGCTCCCTTCCCTCTCTAATCCTCTGTCTGGTGGCTCCCCAGGCCCCCAAGGCAGCGCCATCAGCCCCTTCAAGGCCCTGCTACTATGAAATCAAGCAGTTCCTAGACTGTTCTACCAGCCAGAATGACCTGACCCTGTGTGAGGGCTTCAGTGAGGCTCTGAAGCAATGTCAGCGCAGCTATGGTGAGTAGGGAGACACTGGGGCTGGGCTAAGCCTGGGCCTGGGGCTGAGCCTGGGGCTGGGCTGGAGCTGGGGCTGGGGCTGGGGCTGGGGCTGGGGTGGGGCTGGGGCTGGGGCTGGGGCTGGGCCTGAGGCTGGGCTGGGCCTGGGGCGGGACTGGGCCTGAGGCTGGTGCTGAGCTGGGGTTGAGGCAGGACAGACACGGGTAGCAGACCCTCAGCAGAGGCCTGAAGACAGGCAACGCCCCCAAAGCTCCTCCATCCCCTGCCCTCGCCTATAGCTCCTCTCCTTGCAGGCCTAACCACACTTCTGTGAAGCCAGAGGCCGCAGCCTGCCATGGGGCCCCCTCTGCTGACACCTCCATTGCCCATAGCACAAGATCAGCTGAGACAAGTCCAGCCGACAGGGACCAGTCGCCTCTGGAGATGTTGTTGGGAAGGACATGAGCCAAGGCCCATGTCCAATTAAACGGGGTCTCTTCTCCTCCATCTGTGTCCGGCTCTGTCTGTACCCGCAGTCACCCTCGCCCCCCACAGGGCCTGCTCTGGACACCAGGGCTGGGACTACCCGCCTCAAGCCCACTCAGGCTGCTGTCCTTGGAAAGCATGAGCTGCTGCTCGCTGGGCTTCTGGGGAGACTGCCATGGCTGGCCCAGCTTCCCCAACCAGGCCTTCCCGGGCCCTTCTCACCACACCCCCACCCCCAGCCATCCCCATCATTCCTGTGAGCCCGCAGGTATGGGGCTGAGCTTCTTTCATAGGGTCCTCAGGGGTACCCCTGGGCAGGGTGGGCACTCAGACCCCAGGCATAGGCACTGGGTAGACAATCCCCTAAAGTCCCATCCACTTCTGTTCCCCCCACATTACAGCAGAACAGAGAGCAGCTTCAGAAAGCTGGGCCTTGGGCTGTCCTGTGCGGGCCTGGGGCTCAGTTTGGCTCAGGGCCCTTTTTTCCACACGTGGCACATAACGGGCAGAGAAAAGTCTGAAACAACTGATTGGTGGCTCCCCTGGGGGCCACCCCTGGGCAAAAAGGTGGAGGTTGGGAGGCAGATGGGCTCAGGGCTGGGCAGAGGTCCAGCAGGGACCATCCGCTCTTTGCCTGGCCACCCTTTTTGCACTGATGGCTGCCCTCTGCTCTGCAAGATCACCTGACCTCTCCTGGGTCATCAGCCCTCCCCTGTCACTACTTCCGAGTCCTGCCTGCCTGGGCCTTTTCCCTTCAGTCCAACCCAATTCGGCTGATGCTTATAAAGCGCCTATCTCCTGCAGTGTGCCATGTTTGACAGAACCACCAACATGCTGGGGCCAGCTAAGGCTCAGGTGATTGAAGACGGAAGCAGGGATGAGTGGAGGGGTTGGGCTCTAAGGAGAAGGAGGAATTGGAACTGAGGAAGGAAGAGAAGGAAAGAAGGAAGGAAAGAGGGAGGGAGAGAAGGAAAAAGGGAGGGAGGGAGGGAGGAATGAGAGAGTGAGAGAGGAAGGAAAGGAGAGAGGAGGGAAGGGAGGGAGGAAGGAAAAAAGGGAGGGAAGGAGGAACGAGAGAGAGAGGAAGGAAGGGAGAGAGATGGGAGGGAGGAAGGAAGGAAAGAAGGAAACAGGGAGGTAAGGAAGGAAGAAAGGGAGGGAAGGAGGAAGGAATGAGAGAGTGAGAGAGAAAGGAAGGGAGAGAGGAGGGAAGGGAGGGAGGGAAGAAGGGAATGAGGGAGGGAAGGAGGAAGGAAGGGGATGAGAAAGGAAGGGAGAAAGGAAGGAAAGGAAAGTGAGAGGGAGGAAGGATGAGAAGGAGGAAGGGAGAAAGGAAGGAGGGAGGGAGGAAGGAAGGAAAAGGGAAAGGAAGGAAAAAGGCAGGGAGAGAAGGAAGAAACGAGAGAGGGAGGGAAGGGCACCGATACAGGCCTTGCTGTAGCCTTGCCCTAGGAAGCCAGAGCCCTGGGATCAGGAGCCACCCTGTGCCCACCTCACTGGGACTCAGAGGGTCTCACCATGTAGATCTCACTGGCTTTCAGAGGTCCCCGCTTGCTCTGAGGTCCAACCTCATAAAGGGCACAGTGGGAGCCTGGCCTCAGAGAGTGGTCTCGCCTCTCCCTTCTCCGCCAGGCCCAACCTTCTCCCAGGTCCCTCCCACTTCAGCCAGGGTTTAACTGGGCCCAGGACTGGCGCCCAAGGGAGGGTGGGAGTGAACAGTAGGGTTTGCAGTCAGCCATCCAGGGCCAGCCTATGGCTGGAGGTGGTGAGCTTTGTGCCCATGGGGCAAAGGGCTCTGGAGGGACCCTCACAGGTCAGCTTGCCCAACCCCCTGGCATCGAGATGGGAGGAGGAAGCCCAAAGACAGGAACGGCCCAAGGTCACCCAGACCTACAGAAAGTAGCTGCGCTTTAAGGCCAGGCCAGGCCAGGTGCTATGCTTGCCCATCCTCTACCCTACATGGGCCTTCCGCGAGGGGCTCACCACTGAATGGGCAGCAGGGGCCAGGCTGAGGCCATGGCTAAGTCTAACCTAGGAGCTGAAATCGGGTGGGCACTGGGGGCTGGGAGGGCAGGTAGTGCCAGGGCTCTGGCAAGGGTCAAGAGCGAGGGTCAGGCTGGGGTCAGCTCAGGGTCATCCTGAGTCCACACTGGACTTAGGGTGAGTCTGGAGGCACCGTCATTGGGATCCAGGTGGCATCGAGCCTCTGCTAAGACTCAGGAGAGTCCAACAGGGCCAGGGTCAGTCTGAGCCAGACATGGGGGTCAGGGGCCAGAGTCCTCCTCAGGGCAGGTCTCTGGTCAGTGTGGGTCTGGGGACCACATGGAGCTCTGAAGCTCAAGGTCCCAATGGTTGAGGCTAGTGCCGGCCAGGACTCAGCCTCATTCCAATCCCACCCAACATTTGGCAGCTATGGGGATTCAGAAAGCCCTCAGGGTTCATTCAGGACCCCACCCCCTTTTTCAGAGATGGAGCTTGGTCCCATTGGCACAGCTGGCAAAGCAGCAGAGTTGGGGTTGGTACCAGGCTCTCTGCCCCCCACAACCTGGGCATTTCTTCCCCTGGGCTGCCTCCTTCAGAGGCGGAGATCGCATGGTCTGCCCACTCACTGGGCGGCCACTCTCCTTTGTCCCAGGCCTCCTCCTGGGCTCTCCTCACCCTCTGCTCTCATCCATCCCATCCTGGTGCATCAGTCCTACATCAATTTCTTTGCCATGAATGGCCTGACCCCGGCTCAGGGGCCCTGATCAAGGGCCTTCTCTTTCCTGCTGCCTGGGTCCCAGGAAGAGGGCCCTGGCTGGTCCCTGAGAACCCCTGCCTCCCGGCTGCCAGGTGCTCAGGACGGTCAGGAAGTGGCTAAGCCCAGCGCCCAGCAGGGGGCCAAGCCCACCTGCCTCTCAGGGCTGGACTATGCCCCCTCACTGTGTCATTGTGGGCATCACTGGGTACGGCAGCAGTCCCTGCCGCCTTGGGGCTTCAGCTCCTCCCTTACCACTCAGTTATTAGGACCCAGAAAGCCCTGGGGGGGCCTGGTCCAGGGGCATAGCCTTCAGCAGGACCCCTTCCTGTCAGCCAGTGGAGAACGAATCCCCAAAAGAGAGGCTCACAGGCCAGGGCTGGACCCTGGAGGCTCCTTTGGTTTCTAGGGAGGGCCAAGAATGTCTCAGGAAGTCGGGGATTGCCTGTGGACAGACCCCAGGGCCTCCTCTATTCTGAGGGTTCTCAGACCACTGGCCCTGTTCTCTGACTACGAGTCCCATTTCCAGAGGAGAAGGCTGAGGCCCTGAGAGGGGATTTCTGTTCAAAGGGCTGGGCTGGGGTAACTGCTGAGGACATTCTAGCATTCTGGGAGAGCCCAAGGTGGGAGATGACCCAGAGGGGTTTTTAAAGGCTGCAATGAACCCCAAGTCCTGGTGCCCACAATGATCCTCAGACATGGTGCCAGGCCCGGGTCCTGGTGCCCCTGATGACCCTCAGACATGGTGCCAGTGGTGCCCACAATGACCCTCAGATGTGGTGCCAGGCCTGGGTCCTGGTGCCCCTGATCACCCTCAGACATGGTTCCAGTGGTGCCCACGATGATCCTCAGATGTTCACAATGACCCTCAGATATGGAGCCAGCCTGGGTCCTGGTGCCCATTATCGCCCTCAGACATGTGCCAGTGGTGCCCACAATGATCCTCAGATGTGGTGCCGGGCCGGGTCCTGGAGGCCCATTCCATTAAAGCCCAGGGAGTTCAAAGGAAGGAAGCTTCAAGACCTTGAGGAGACAAAGCGGGCCTAGGCCATCCTGCTGGGGCTGCAGTGAGGGCCGGGGGGCAGTCTGACTGACGGTTCCAGCTCATTTATTGCCTCAACCAGCAGCTTGTGGCAGACATAGTAGCAGGGAAACCCTGCCCTGCCCTGCCCTGCCCCTCATCCTCGTGATGAGTCGTTGGAGTCTCTGAGTCCTAGCACCCTGCCCGGCCCAGCAGCACCCCAGGCCTAGCTCAGTCAGTAACCAGCAGGCACGCCCCCCTTGCGAGAGTCCGAGGCCGCCGCCCAGCCATCCGGGGTGCTCACGATCGCCTGAACCACAGCAATGAAGTCCTCGGTGGTCTTGGTGTTATGATTCCGGGCCCTGAGCTCGGGCCCCACAGCCTGCAACAGAGAAGGCCGGCTTGAGCGTGGCAGGACGACGGCCCAGGCAGGTGCGCTGTGGACCCCCACCCCCACCCCCACCTCCCAATATATACCCATCTCACAGGAGAGCACCGACAGGGCCAGGGAGGGAGGGAAGGGATGTGGCCTGCCCCAGTCCTCCACCTGTCTCTGCCTGTCTGCCTGTCTGCCGGCTGCTTGTCTGGCTGTCTCTGTCTGTCTCTCTGTCTGTCTCGCTGTCTCTCTCTGTCTCTGTCTCTGTCCCTCTGTCTCTCTCTGTCTCTCTGTCTCTGTCTCTCTGTCTCAGTCTCTGTCTCTCTGTCTCTGTCTCTCTGTCTCTGTCTGTCTTTCTGTCTCTGTGTCTCTG